GGACGGCAGCCGCTCGGAGCCCCCAGCCTCTCTTGGCCTTTGCTTCGGGCACGGGCAGAAGAGAGAGAGAGGAGCAACAGGCCCCCTGGCGCCAGACTCCAGCCGGCGAGCCGGGGACTCAGCAGCCCTGGAGGGGGCTGTGCGTGAAGGGGTGTGCAGCCCCCAGGGGAGTGGGACTAAGCAGCCCCAGGAACTGCAGCGCGGCAGGGACCTGGCTGGGAACAGCAGGGGGTTGCTCCTTGTGTGTGGCGGGTACCTCTCCGGGAGAGAAGAGCAGCAGGGACAGTCCTAAGGCCACGAGGGGGCAGTCCCAGCATGGACATTGGGAGCCAGCTGCATTTCTGCCTGCAGCCCGGGGCTTCCCCTGGAGGGCAAACATCAGGCCCCCTCCACCCTGCCTGCTCAGCACTGGCCCTGCGTGGCATCTGTGTACGGCAGGGGCTGCACCACTGGGGCCACCCAGTCACACGGGCAGCCTGGGGGGGAGCTGGGCTCCGTCTCTGCCCAGCGCCGCGCTGGCCTGGAGTCTCTGCAAGGGCTCAGGGGGCTCCGAGCGGGTTTTCTCCTCGGGCGCGGGAAGCTCTGAAAGCAGCACGAGAGCCGCGGGTGGCGGGCAAGTCACAAGCCTAAGGGGCAGCGAGAGGGCAGGGACTAGAGCGGGCAGGTAACAGGGATCCCGGCAGGACCCCCTCTGGCTCTGCCTTCCAACCGCAGGCAGGGCTCAGTCGCTGGCCCTCGAATTCTGGGGGTGAATTATTCACGACTTACACGCAGCTTTGCAGGGGACCCTGCTCCAGGCGGTGGGAAAGCGATCCGCCTGCACGGTCTACTCGGGCTCTGCTATGGATGAAGCTGAAGCAAAAATCCTCCCTGGCTGCTAGAATGACCAGAGAGGGGAAATCTGATCAGCGCAACACAGGCCTTTCCAGCACAAGTTTAACACGAAGCAGCAGCCAGGATAGGTGCCGTCTCTGAGGGCTGGCGGGGGGAGGCTTTTCGCAATGTGGTGCTCTCTTACCCGGCGCAGGGTTACACGTCTTGCTCGCTTCATTCCAGAGACAACGTCATGTGGCCTGTTTGCGTGGGCTCTGGAGCGCTCACGGGTTCCTAGAGTGAACTCCTCGTTGGCAGACACACAGGGCTCTTCTCAGGCCTGGGGGAACACTGGGCTGACCAGTTTGAGAGCGAGGCCAGACCATCCTTCCGCGGAACAGAACTCCCACCTGCTCAGCAGCCTGGGACAAGGCAGGGACGAGAGAGGATGATTTGGGGCCAGGTGCTGCCATCTTTACGCAGCCTGAGAATCGCATTGCCCCTCGCGTAGCCCCAGGGCGGGGCTGGCGGGGGCAGAATACTTAGTGTGAGTAAGGGAGACAGGCCCAGGCCCCTTGAATTGTGGAGAGTAAAAGCTATTCACCAAGGGAGTGTCCACACACAAAAGTTGCACTGGGTTAACTAAATCCGTTTACCACCTCACCTTTAGGTAAAATGCTGCTACTCCTGCCTGTATGGTCGTGCCCTTAGGACCACAGGACCCAAGCGTTGGAACAGCTGGTTTGAGGTAATTCCAGTGCATCTTCTGCTTCAAACCCAACAAGCCCAACCCCTCAGACAACCAAACAGCAGACACATTAGTCTCCTTGCTCATTTCCCATCACAGCTATTTCTGTGACATTATACAAGCTGGTTTGGTTTGTTAACCTGACTCCTACTCAATACTTCCTGGGCTTGGATAGGTTAAAGACCATCTCTTGGGGAACCATATGCCTACAGGGAACACTGAATTTAAAAGGATTTGAAAAACCTGTATGAGTGATAGAAAAATCACATTTTTACCACCAGAAAGCTGCCGATTATTGTCTGGGTCTTTTTGACTTGATTTCTCACACTGCAGATTTACATGGTTACAATGAAATAGTGGGGTAAAATAGCTCAGGGGTAGGTATGTGTCAAGTGTTGATAGAGTTTACATGCCATGTATTTTACTGTCTATTGATGTTTCAATGTTACATTTAACTATGGATCAAACACAGCCAGAGCCAAATTCCATCTTCTTCTGTGAAGCAAAATAGATCCGCAGAAAGCAACGTGAGTGGTGCTCATGAAACAACCCACAATTTGAATAAAAATAAACTTTTTTTGGAGGTTAGAAAGTGCTTCATTCCCACGAGCTTGCACCCATCCTGGCTTCAGCCAGAAGCTGAAGCTGAGGACGATTGCTCCTATGCTATTTCTGAGCCCACCGAACCTCAGCAGTGGTGGGAATCTAAAGGCAGGACTATTGCAACCCGGATGTGAGCAGCTCTCCGCTTGGCCTGGGGAGGAAATAATTTTGCTGTGCGCTTGGCCAGGGGTAGCCGCACAGCAGCAACCTTCCTCTCAAGCTCTCTCCTTCAGGGCAGCTCGAATCTGCCTCTGGTGGTTACCTCCCTAGATTAGTTCTCCTGGGTTGTGGGAGGTGAGTCTCCCTTGCCTCTCGCCTTGTTGGAGCATTTACACCAGTGCACAGTGAATGCAGAATGCTCGCCTGCTGGCCTGACACACACCGGGCTGCGCTGGCAGGCTTTAAACCCACTGTGCACCCACAACCAGCCCTTCTTTTCTACCTCGTTGCCTGTGGCGGTGAAGATGGGATTGTGGAGAGGTCACAAGCCCCTGGGAAAGCGGCAGCCCAGTGGAATTACCGGGCTCGCTTCACAGATTTCAAACATCAAAGGCTCTTATGCTCTCCTGACTCTTCTGTTTCTCTAGGTCCTTACCTGGCCTCCATCTCCGCAGGAGCCGAGTCCCTCATGCTCTCTAGTGGGTTGGTCTTTCTTCCTGCACCCCAGAGAAGTTCTGCTCAGAACTTTGCCTTGCTGAGAAGCCGTTTGGTCCCTACAAAGGCATTTTAAACTGAATTTAAAAGGATTTGAAAAACCTGTATGAGTGATAGAAAAATCACATTTTTACCACCAGAAAGCTGCCGATTATTGTCTGGGTCTTTTTGACTTGATTTCTCACACTGCAGATTTACATGGTTACAATGAAATAGTGGGGTAAAATAGCTCAGGGGTAGGTATGTGTCAAGTGTTGATAGAGTTTACATGCCATGTATTTTACTGTCTATTGATGTTTCAATGTTACATTTAACTATGGATCAAACACAGCCAGAGCCAAATTCCATCTTCTTCTGTGAAGCAAAATAGATCCGCAGAAAGCAACGTGAGTGGTGCTCATGAAACAACCCACAATTTGAATAAAAATAAACTTTTTTTGGAGGTTAGAAAGTGCTTCATTCCCACGAGCTTGCACCCATCCTGGCTTCAGCCAGAAGCTGAAGCTGAGGACGATTGCTCCTATGCTATTTCTGAGCCCACCGAACCTCAGCAGTGGTGGGAATCTAAAGGCAGGACTATTGCAACCCGGATGTGAGCAGCTCTCCGCTTGGCCTGGGGAGGAAATAATTTTGCTGTGCGCTTGGCCAGGGGTAGCCGCACAGCAGCAACCTTCCTCTCAAGCTCTCTCCTTCAGGGCAGCTCGAATCTGCCTCTGGTGGTTACCTCCCTAGATTAGTTCTCCTGGGTTGTGGGAGGTGAGTCTCCCTTGCCTCTCGCCTTGTTGGAGCATTTACACCAGTGCACAGTGAATGCAGAATGCTCGCCTGCTGGCCTGACACACACCGGGCTGCGCTGGCAGGCTTTAAACCCACTGTGCACCCACAACCAGCCCTTCTTTTCTACCTCGTTGCCTGTGGCGGTGAAGATGGGATTGTGGAGAGGTCACAAGCCCCTGGGAAAGCGGCAGCCCAGTGGAATTACCGGGCTCGCTTCACAGATTTCAAACATCAAAGGCTCTTATGCTCTCCTGACTCTTCTGTTTCTCTAGGTCCTTACCTGGCCTCCATCTCCGCAGGAGCCGAGTCCCTCATGCTCTCTAGTGGGTTGGTCTTTCTTCCTGCACCCCAGAGAAGTTCTGCTCAGAACTTTGCCTTGCTGAGAAGCCGTTTGGTCCCTACAAAGGCATTTTAAAACCTGAATGTTTCTGAAGTTGTTATTGGCTGCAGAGGCTAAGGGATGGGCAGTAAATAGAATACTGCTTAACAAAGGTATCAATTAAAAAACCAGACTGGCTCTGATTGACAGCAAATGCTGGATTAAGCTTCGTTTCCCGCGGAGTCCAAGGTGTCCTTCCCCAAAGCAGGATCCTCAGGACTAGCCCTGGTCTCCACTGCAGTGTCTCTTCCCATCCTCCATAACAACGAGACCTGACTGGGAAAGGGAAAGGGAAAGTTCCCACTTTGGGGGCGCTTGTGTTCCCTGTGAGCACTGACTGTCTCGGCTCACCTCCCCGTGCTGTCAGTAGGCCGAGAGGGAAAGAACCAGGCAGCCACACAAACAGCCTTTTGCCAACTGCAAAGAGATTAAATTGGCAGAAAGAGACATTTTATGCTCCAGTGTCACAGCAGGTTTTACCAGCAATGGAAACAATGCAAATCGCTCCCTGGGCAATGCCTAGCCCTGTGTTTCTGGACTGGGACCATTGTCCGTGGTAAAGCAGAGATGTCGCATGCCAGCAGCGTCTGGGCAAACGCCACCCGGGAGCAGGGGCCCTCTGTTTGGAGAGTGGCCCTATGCACAGAGCCACCGTGCAGACAAGGTATAAACTGTTGAGAAAGAAGAAAATCACTTTGGGCCGAGAGCTTTGTCTGAACTTTGTCCTTTTCTCAAGCAAAGGAAAATATTATTTCACCCTTTAAAGAACCACACATAATAAGAGGCGAAATGTCAAGACCAATGTTGATATAAACCCCCAAGGAAAACAAACATCCATGTGGCTTCTCCAAAAGGTCTCACTCCTCACCCCTCTTCCCTAGTTTAAACAGATTTAGTAAGTGGGCAGGAATGGTGGGGGGAGGGGGCTTCTGCAGGGTCGATTGTAAAGGTCCTCCGTAAAGTCCCCGCCTGGTACCTCGTCTTCAGGCAGATGCTCAGCTCCGGGGAGGATTGGCCCGCCTGGGATGGCAGAACCTCGGGCTTTCATGATGAAAGCTCCGTGAGCAAGGCCAAGGCGTCTCCCCCTTCCAGCACTGAGAAGCCCCGGTTCCCCAGTGCCCCAGCAAAGCCTGCCCAGCCAGCAGAGGGCTGCAGGAAACGCACTTGCTTGGCTGCTTGTGGTGGAACCACCGAGCCCCGTCCGGGCGGGAGGGCAGAAAGACGCACTGGGGACGGAGGCGGCTCATTGTCTCAAGGTATTCCTGGGGCCTCTGGAGGAGTCACGTGGGGCCAGGCAAACAAGACTTGGTGACTTCTAACGCCCCCTGCCTGTAACGTGGGGCACACAGCTAACTCCTAGGCACCTGGGAAGAGCCGGGTGGTGCACCGTGGTACGTGGCTGTGCACGCCAGCAAGGCGCCTCTCCCCAGGCTCCAGCGGGATGTGGCCTAGTGAGTTTGCACAGAGCCCCTTGCTATCTGCTTCGGGGCAGGCCCTGGGCTGGCGGGAGCACAGTCTGGCAATGCCTAGACCCTGGGCCCGCCCCACCCGGGCACAGGCACGCTCTGTGGCACCCCCTGCTCCGTGTCTCCGCACTGCTCCTTCCCTCCACGGGCTGGGTGGCTGGGCTCTGCGCCACGGACCAGACTGCGGCGTGTACGCTGGGCCTCAGGGGCGTTCCTCCCATTCCGGGGGGCGGAGCAGAGCCGGGCGCACCCAGGGCTCTTGGGCAGGCAGCCCCGAAAGTGCGGACACAACATGCCCAGCCCCGGCCGCAGCAATCCGCACACTGTGCAGCACAGAGGTACAGGAATGAATAATTAAAGAGCCGGGCTGGCTCCGCAAGAGCATCAGCACCAGGATAAATCACCAGTAATTCCAAAGCCACATTCCCAGGTTCACTTATAACCATCTTGGTATCTGGAGTCCCACTGGGAGCCATAAACGACACCGAGTCCACAGCAGGAAAATAAACATGCAGCTAAGTGGCAAGGATTCATTTACACCCAAAGGGGAACCACTTGACTCTGTAGAGTATTGGTTTACTACACACAGAGCACGTTTCACCTTCAAGTACATCCCCAGTTCCAGGGGAGCGGGCTGCCTGGGGGAAGAGGGATGCGGCCGGGAGCCCTCCTAGCAAAGCTGCCAGCCTGAGCCCATTGTGCTAGACAAGGGCCAGACATGCCTGGAAAGCCCCAAGTGCCAGGTTCAAAGCAAAGGCAAAAAGTGACAGTGCCCGAGGGCCTTGCCCATCTTCATTCAGCCCTTCCTTTTTCGGGGTGCACGGGGCTGAAGATTGTATCAGAGACCTTGTGACCTTCCGTGTTTACAAAACGGCCTGGCTCCTGCATTGCTTTAGGAAAGTTCGGGTCTAGTCCACCAACTTTATTATTGTTTCAAATCTTGGGATTTTGGTGGGCCTAACAAAACCAATTTCTCCTGCCATTAATATCTGCATTTCCACATCACGAGCTATGAATGGGACACAGCCAGCCCACTGAATTAGCCTCATTCACATGGGTCCTACAATTTAGGTACTACTTCTGCTGTTACAGCTCTCTCTTGGTGTAGGTCATTTCCACTCCAATTCCTCTGATGAAGTGGTTGTGCCCTCAAAAGCTCATGATTCTCTGGATTTTGGCTAGTCTCTAAGGTGCCACAGAGCCACTCTCTGTTTCTAACTTTAAGGAGTTTGTCTAACTAAGGATTTCAAAACTTGGCCTGGTACTGCTCAAGAGTGAATAGGAACAGACTTAGATTGGACTTTCCCTTTTTCCGCTAGCAAAAATAAACCCAAAATGTCTCAAAGGTCAACAGTCCAAGTGATGCTTCCAGAAGAGACGTGATTAAATAGTACTAGCAAAATGCAAAACTATTCAGAACTAGCTGAGCGGTGTCAGAACTATCTGAGCAGTGTGATCCACTGGGGGTGGCAAAGAGCGAATAGGCCTTCATTTCAAAACTGGGTTCTTAGCAAAATGCAGCCTGGGCTCAGAGGTGATTGACTGAGAACAGAGACCCAGCACTTGTGAAAACAGAACCGAGCGCTGCACTTGGAGCCAACTTGCCTCCGACAAAACACCCCCTGACATCAATCTGTTAAACTCAGTGGGACTTTCTCAAGATTCCTCCCCTGTGCATCCACCTTATCTGCAACTCCATTTGGTACGATCCCATGTTATCTCACCGTCCCGCACTGATCTCTGCTGACTACACAGAAGCCTTCGGAAGCTCTGGTGAGTCAAGCCAGGTGAGGATGGAGCAGAAAAGCTCCTGGGTTTTGCTGCTGGCATAAATGAGAGGTGAAACGTTTCTCGTTGAGTCGTAAGTGAGCAAAGGAGCCAGCAGGGAGCAGGGGGTGTTGCGTTGCTGGAGGTGCCATACGTAAGATGAGAAATAAAAGCCAGGGCCTGACTGCTAATGAGTGTGATAAAGAATCTATGTCCGGTTTTTCCTAACAGCAGAATGTTACAGTCACAGGGTATGTCTACACTACAGAGTTTTGTCGGGAAAGTGGCTGTTTTTTTGATAAAACGTGAGGAACGTCCACACTGCAAGCATGTTCTTCCACAAGAAAATCGAAAGAACAGAGGGATTTTTCTGGCATTTTGGTAATCCTCATTGTGCAAGGAAGAAACCTTTTTCCGAACAAGCTCTTTTGCAAAAAGGCATGTGTGGAGGAGGAAGAGGGAGTTCTTTTGGAAGAAGAGGAAAGAGGAAAAAGCACAGGTCCCCTGGTGGCCATTCTGTCCATAGCAATCACAGCTTACACGCGAGAGAGCGCCCATTCAGAGTGGATGCTCTCTTTCGAAAAAGGAGATCGATTTTTGTTGCACTTTTTCAGTGTGGACGCTCTCTTTTGGAAGAACTTTTTCTGGAAGATCTCTTCCAAAAAAAAGCTTTTT